TGTCAGTGCTTGGTATAGAAATCTGTAATCTATGTAGGAAAATCCTTTTTTTCCTTCCACAGAAACACCACGTTTTCTTATGCGAAATAATGGAGAATTAAATGAAGAGATTTCAAGGGATATTCACGATCAATAGCGAAATTTTGCAAAAATGTTCAACACGTTTTGTGTGTGTGCTGCTGATTTTCACTGTTGCCCAATGCTTAGGGAACTTTCATAAATAACATAGTAGTTGAGGGGAGAGAGGGGTTTCAGATGTTGTGACTGGCCATGTATTAGGTATAGCAAAACAGGAGGAAGGGGGGTTAATTGGTCAAAAAATTCTACGTCATTTATGGTGGTCCCTAATTTCACTTCAAAGGCTGTGTCCCAATGGGCGAGTTAAATTTAACTCGTGGTCAAAAGTGACAGATGAGTTATTGAATAACCCTGGTATCCGAGCGTGGTTATTTCTTACCGATTAGAAGTTAAATTTTGGCAACCGTGGCTGAGTTCGGTTTGAAAACCGATCAATCTCCGGGATTTTCGAACATTGAAAATAACTTTCGTAATGTCACGTTTAACCACGAGTTAAATTAAACGCGGCAATTGGAACACAGCCTAAAAAGTATTTCTCGATAAGTTTTTTAACAAGAAGTATCAATGGATATATTGGTTTGTGTAGGCGTGCCTGGAGTATCTAGAAATCAACGAGAGAAATCATTGTTTACAAAAGCTGTTACGTCCTAATTCCAGTACTATGTAGATATAGCTTAAAAAAATCAAGGCTTTGTTTTAGACTCACTATCGTTTTAAATTAAAATACATTTACTTATAATCAAACGATATTGTTTGACTGCTTAAAAAAAACTTAATAGACTAATTGTTACTCTTATAAACTATTAATAATACCGTTAGGCTGGTAATGTTACTTTGGACAGATTTCATATTTCTTTTCTACGCAACTGCAAAGGAACCTTAGGATCTGTTCACAGGCTACGTAATGCAATAGGGAGAGAGGAAGTGTAGAAAACTGGGTACTGCTATAGAGGTCACTCTAAGACCAGAAGGTCCCGTAGAAATGTGCTAAACTTTTTGGCTCAGCTCTGGTACTATCTTCGGTCCCAAGCTAATCGATGCACCCCTCGAAACATAGGAAAATCCACGAACCCCTCATTTTATCCGTCAAACTTTCATAGCGAATCAAAGCAAACATAGTGTAGTACTAGAATTTTGACTAGAATGGGGTATGTTAATCGATTTGCTTGGGACCAATAGGCTAGTCAAGTAGAGAGCTAATTTAAAATCGTTAGTATCGTATTGATTGTTGGTACTGCGGAGTCACTCACACAGGTTCGAATTGCAATAAAACATACCTTGGCGATACAATATGTAAAGAAACTTTATTAGAGTCATGGAGGCTCGAGCATTCCTGGCTCACAGATTTTAGCGGGAATAAACTGAAGAAGAGCAAAACAATTTTAAACTGGAGAAAAATTTCAAGCAGTTTTCCATTGGCTTGCAAAATAAAATTGATTAACGTACCCCATTCTAGTCGAAATTCTAGTACTATAAATACTATGTTTGTTTTGATTCGCTATGAAAGTTTGATAGATAAAATGAGGGATTCGTGGATTTTCTTATGCAGGGGTGCATCGATTAGCTTAGGACCGAAGATAGTACCAGAGCTGAGTCAAAAAGTTGAGCACTTTTCTTCGGGACCCTCTAGCCTTAGAGTTACCTCTATGGTTGGCGATCACCAAAACGGTAACGTAGTGACGCTTCGGAAGCAGGATCGGATTCTTAACGAGCCAACAGGTACATCAGTACATCGAGTGAATCCACAGCCCCATGCCACGGGGAACGGCCCTCCCGCGCGCATAGCGGCGTTTCAGCGACCGTTCTCCTACACCGGGATAGACTATTTCGGCCCGATGTTGTTAGTAGTTGAGAAACGGTGGGGTGTTCTGCTGACCTGCGTGACGACGAGAGGCGTTAACATCGAGCTCGTTCACTCTCTCATGGTTGATTCCTGTATTTTTACTCTACGCGACTTTATCGCAAGAAGAGGATCACCACTCGTGATCATTAGCGCCGGCGTCGGTGGTGTAGTGGTAAGTATGACTGCTTTCTAACACCCTAATGGGTCTGGGTTCAATCCCAGCCGAAGTCGGTGGGACTTTTCTGAGGCATAAAAATCTCTGGTCACGTCTTCCTTCGGAAGGGAAGTAAAGCCGTTGGTCCCGGCCCATGTGTGTTTGAATGGGTGCGATATCCTACGCAGGTGTGGAAGCTGCCTTCCTGTACATTCGATTGCCGTCAATGGATGGCAATCGATGTCCGTCGGTGATTGGCACTAGATTGCGGAACAGAGACCGACGTTAAATAAAGGAAAGAAGAAGAAGAAGAAGAAGAAGAAGAAGAGATCATTAGCGACCGAGGCTTCGCGGGAGTAACGTGAAGCTTCGAAGAATGTCAACGAGGAGAAGACCACCTTTGTTGGGTCGAAAACCAAGTGGACGTTTAATCCACCGACTGCTCCCCATTTCGGGGGCTGTTGGGAGCAATTAGTGGAGGCAGTCACGAGGATCCTGTATGAGATCAACCCTCCGCGGCTACCGACCGACGAGGTCCTGCAATCAATGCGCATGGAGATTTAGATTTTTTTTTTTTTTTTTTTTTTAAACTCTTTATTTGTTCCAAATTCAAAATAAATTACATTTCATTTTTAACCTAGGTGCTCCAGTTACTACAGTAGCTTACCAGCCTTAATTGTTATGATATATATCTAAGTGTGTTTACATTGTTTCTGTCTTGGCAATTCAGTATTTTAAACAGGTTTTTTAACCTGCATGTCAGTATAACAATTGATAGCTTAAAACTAAATAACTAAAACTAAATCTTATCTAAGTATAAAGGGAATTAATCGTTGCAATTGAGGATTGTAACGATTTTTGCCGGAAATTATAAATTATTTTGTTGGACATTTGTTCTAAAGTCTCAACATTCGAAATTCTATGTACCTCAGTAGTACTGTACCAGGGAGGCAACTTCAAAATCATCTTCAGATGGAGATTTAGATGATTATCAACTCAAGACCGCTCACTGACATACCGCTAGACACCGACACTGAGCCATCCTTAACACTTAATCAGGCTTGTAATAGCTCATTACAGCTAAAATGCTATTTTTCGTAATTATGAAACTATGTGATAATATGATGATAATTTTAATTTGTAAGAAGCAAGAAGAGGTGGAAAAGTTTGTGTATGACACATAAAATTTGTCAATTTTGCTATCAGAAGGTCACAACTAGCGATTTTATGATCGCTGATTGCTCGCTCATCGCGTTGCTCATCGTTACAGCTAATCGCTATAGTGACCATACACAATTAACAATTATCATTAAAATATCTCATAACTTCATAAATCCGAAAAATAGCATTTTAGCTGTAATGACCTAATCATTTCTTGTTAGGGTGTTCGAATGGAAGTAAGCCCCCGATCGCTATTAACGACGTTCTAAAACAGTCGTGGAAGATGTCCAAAATATATGCTGACGAGTTCTGGAGGAAGTGGCTGACGGAATACCTGCCGACTCTGACCCGGCGATTGAAATGGTTTCAGCCAACGAAGCCCATCGAGGAAGGTGAGCTAGCCCTGATCGTGGACAACAATTCTCCAAGCAACTGTTGGCGAATAGGTAGCATCGAAAACATGATTCGCTCCATGGACGGACAGGTGCATCGGGTAACTCTACAAACGAAACACGGGCTACTGGAGAGACCAGTTATCAAGATTGTGGTTCTTGATGTCGGTTCATCTAGGAGTAAGCCAGTTGAAGACCAGCGGCGTACGGGAGGGAGTGTTACATCCCTGTAGCGTGTGACTAACCTCACATGCAATCTCCTTGATGCGCATAGTGCATACACTCGGTCTGACCCTGGCTCCCGAACTGTAAATCTGACTAGCCGGCGAGCTGGCGGGTTAGTAATTGCATCATAATAAGAATAGAAAAGCACAAGATGTGAGTTGAAAACAAATGTGGTTGGCTAAAATTTATATCGAAATTTATTGTTCTAACCTAATCTAACCCATTCTATTTAATTTCACTACAGTTATACACGACTGGTAAATACGTTAAAACTTACGGATTAAAAGTTGAATTTTGTAACCTAACACAAACGATTGTCCACAGCCTTCACACGTAACAAATAGTACGGTCGATAGTTGCGAGTACATACAGATTGTATACCATAAGAAGAAAACTAAACGTAAGTAATATGTCATGCCTTACTGTAGGTTAAAATTCCATCTAAAAAACAATAATGAAACCTAACCTAAAATTACTGATTCTTTCAAAGGAATTTTATAACGTCCTAAAATAAACGTTACGAATCTTTTCTTTTTTTAGTCTGTCGGTTGCTTGTGTAACACTACGCCTTATTATATCTCCACTATATTTGAATAAAAAGAATGCTACTGTGAGCAATCATTTTTGAAATATGTCGCTGGATTTACAGTAGTTTTTTTGCTGAAAAAAATTCATCTATCAATAAGATATCGACAAAAGTCGAAAATGTCCAGACAAGTGTTTCCACAATAGGCCTGTACACACCGACAAACATGCACAACTAGCTAGAATTACTTGAAATGCATTGGAACCAGTTTCACTGTGACTTAATAACCTTCTGCCAAATAAAAAGTAACACGCGCCGTGCCATTCACCTTGAATTTAAATAAAACACAGATCTGCCTATTTACTTTTCCTTTTTATTCTCTATCGCTCGGTTGTTTACAAACACTATACCAGCTGATCGTCAACTCGGTACACTCGATAGGGATAGGGTGAAGCTTTCCCCCTAGCGGTCGTCACCAGTACTAGGAAGGTAAAGCTTTTCCGCACGACCTGCGCCTCTATGCGATCGTCCGTTCGCCTTTGCTTGTGTATAAGTTTGTCAGATGACGTATTGGTAAATAATGGTATAAATAAAAACAAATAATAAGTCTACCATCAAACATAAATATCATACTCATAGCATGTTACAGCCTGTTTTAGTTTTAGCACTCGGCACAGTCGTACCCTTCAATCGCAATCCTTGGAAAAGTAGCAGCAATAGTCGTCGCTCTTATTGCACACCACTCGAAATGGTTCATCGGGAGGAAAGACATACGCTCCGAATGCAATGTCCATCACCTTGACGTTGCGCATTTCAAAGGTTTCCAGCTCCGGTGGCAGTTGCACTGGGAATGAGTTCCCCGTAATGGTCAATCCGAACAGTTTCAAAGACTGAAACGCCATAAAAAATATGTGTAATTAACCAAATCCGAAAAAAATAAATCAAATCGTCTCAAAATACAAACCTTTAGATTTCGATTACGGAAAATTTGAGCAAACACCGGAAAGGACAGTTCCAAGTTCGGGTTGAATCCACACAAGGTCAGCGCGGTGACACGTTCGCAGCTGTTGAACATTTGGTTCAACATCTGATCGCACTGCAGTGGCGCGTTGTACGCAATCAGAATGAACTCGGTGATGTTGCGGAAGTACGGAATCATCCGATCCAATGCCGGACAAGCCGAGCTGATGCGGATGCTCAGGTCACGCATGTTCGGGAATGGCTGGAAGAAGTGCGCTGGGATGTCCGATGCGCATAGGTCGAGTTGGAGCTTTTCCAGCGGAGACTTACTGGTAAGGACGAAATCCGGTACGCCCTGCTTGGACTGGCGAAGGGTGCGAAGCATCGGAGCGGCTAAGGTCAACATCTGGTCGCCTTGGTTTTTTACGTTAAACCATTCGAGGTGCTTGAGAATGGGCAGATGGAGAGTCTTGTTGGACTGTATCTTTGCTGTTTCCAATCGGAGGTGTTCCAATTGGGGGAACACTCTATTTTCTGAGAGGAATCCTCCGGTTAAATCTACGTTGTCTAACAGGAGAACTCGAAGGTGAAGACAATGGCGATTTATTGCTTCTAGAATTATGTCGTTGACTTCCCACATTTGAATCGACTTCAAGTTGGGCATATTGGAGAACATTGCGTCCCAATCACGAACCTGTAAATCTTGAGTCTTGTGGGAGATGGTCAGATGTTCTAAAGCATCCAGTCGCTGCTCGAAGAAATCGTTCCACATTCTTGGATGCAGATGAACCTTCAAAGCTTTCAAATTGACACTCCGGTTCAGTTCCAAGAAGCTATTATGCCATACGATTCCACTATCAGAATCGGAATCGCCAAATCTCACCACTGCGGATTGAAGGTTGGGTGCATCAATCATAAACAGTGGCTTCCTATTTTGCAGCTGGTCTTTTGTCACAACTTCTCTCCAGAACAACGTTTCCAGTCGATCCATCTGCAGAACACACCGATCCATTATCAGTCTACTGTCCATCGTCTCGGTGGACACCTGTAACTTCTTAATACGCGCCAGTAGTTCTACATGTGTACGGAAGAAATCCGATAACATCTGGCCGAGGGGTGCGTCGATTATTAGCCCTTCAAGTTGGCACTTTTCATCCAACTCTGTCAACACCCGATCTATCGACACTAGAACCTCCGGATCCGAATCTTTGCACCATTTCACATAAGCCACTCGATAATCACGCTCACTAGCTTCCACCACTTCTTCGTCCACCACTACCACCTGTTCAAAATCTCCGCTTTTCCCCCAGTCTCCACGGCTCAACTCGATGCACAAATTTCGGCATAGTGAACGGGAAAACACGGCCTGGTTCCACCGACGACACACTAGGGACAATGGTTTACGGTCCCAAAAGTCGAGATTTTGGAAGATCTGCTCGTAGATCTCCAACGGTAGACAATCCCAGGACATGTTTTTCCTTCACCACCCGAACGACGACGACGATAAACTGGCGACGCAGTAAAATTAAGATTCACTCGCGAGCGAGGCAACGTGAAGACTGGTAGTGGGTTTCGGTACCAGAAAACTGCGTAGCAGAAGGGAGAAAGCTCCAGAAGCTTCGAGACTGTTATTCGGACAGCTTTGGCGGTGTGAAAGCGACTGAATGTTGTTTGTTTGTGCATTTGCTGCTAGATGGCAGACAATGACGGTTGAAAGAATCGAAAGTGTGAGCGTGCTAGAAGAAAATAAAAGAAAGGACCGAATGAGTGAGATAATTTAGAAATACAAGTTTTATCGAAAATATTACAGCAGAATTGCGTGGAATTACTTTCTTTATAAAGTAATCTCTTGATGATGAGTGACTTCATCTTCAATAGAACAAACCAGTAACTTATGTTGTCACGAACGGATTTGGTATGGTATTCATCCCATGCTCATTGGTTCAAATCTCACGAAAAAAAAAAAAATAGGATTTCTCGCGGAAATGGAAATAGAAACAAAAAAAATAACCTTTTTAGTTGCTGAAATAAAAGAATAAAGATACAAACAATGGATACATTCTTCTGCAAAGGTATAACTCAGCAAATTTCAAGCAACTTTGTTGACCAAAATTTATTTATCTGTTGAATTAAAGGGTGTTACGATCCAAATATGGTCATCAAGAATGCGTGTAAATTTATTAAATGTTTAATTAAAAAAATGAAATGACCGAATCCGAATTGCTAGGCCTTAACTCCTGCCATCAGATTCTGTTCAGCCACCTCCTCCACTTTGTTTGCCGTAGAACCAGACCTCCTTCACTTTTTGGAATTTATAGAGACAGATAACAGCACCAATAGGTTTGTGACGATACAACGTTGAACTGCAGCATTGAAAGAAAACACGCACACCAACATCATATGCATGTAAGAACCCACACCAGTGAGTACAGTGCAAATCAAAACTTGAAGTGATGTAATTACTCATCGTCAACACTCAGCTCTGGCAGCTTCAGTTTGCAATTTCGATGGAATTGACAAATACCTTCTTTATAAAATAGGAAAGTAATCATTATTCCAACGTAATTTTTGAATAGAATGCGTGCAGCGTTGGCCAAGGAAGACGGCATATTTTATTACAAAGCAATGATTTCAATACGTTGCGTTTTTCGAAGTATACCTCTATGCTTATAAAGATTATGTTGAGCAACAGATTCACAAATCATCAATTTTCAATTACTTTTTCAAAAAGACGTATCTGCTATTGTAAACAATGCATCTTTCTGATACCGGTGGTGATATTGGAAACTCGTTCGCTTGAAAGCAAAACATATTACAAGCCCAGCTTGAATGTGTCCTTGTATTCTCAAGCGTTTCTGTTGCGTTTAACGTGGTAATGATTGAAAATTGATACAATCGTAACAAAGTGAGAATTTTGCTATCGAAATATAATGATGATGTCATCGATCATCTTCTTCCCTTGGCTGGCATATGTCATACTGACACTTGTCATTTATTGAGCCCTGGTGGTAAAGTTGGCGCGGGACTCCCCACCGTTTCAATGTGCACCCACTAGATGTCACTGCGATCGCATAAGGGTGGTGTATCCATTGCCTTGTACGAGGAATTGATTAATGGAATATCTTGTTAATTAAATATCTTTGGTAGAACACCAGTTTATCTTAAACTGTTTCTAGCTTCTAGCGGTTTTGTGTGTCTTCTTCAGCTTCCGCTTGATGATGGCCCCATATTTTTCGATTGGGAGGATTCTTTTCCGACGTTTTTGGCGGCATACCACTCCATTGCAGGATGCCAAATCCAGCCAAAACAGCACGGAACAATCATGTTGTTTCAGGAAAGGCACCAGACAGTCATCGTGAGCATTCATAAGGGCGTATACGCGAAACAATTTTCTAGAATTTGTTCAATGCAGAGTTGTAACAGGTGGTATTGGCTATCAAAAGCAATCGCACCATGAATCGTTAAATCTAGCGAGTTATTAACAAAAGAGAAAATCGACGAAGAGAATCGATCATCGCGTTTACGCCCTTATGCATGCTCACTGTCGAAATGCATATTTGTTTGTGTAGTCCATGGTCATGTGACTCGATAGAGGCACACTCAAATGATTTGCTATCCCGGAAGCCGTCAATGAACAGGAGTAGCCACTAGAATAATAAATTGTGAAGTGAAGACAACCATTGAATCGGTTGATAGCTGAGTTACTGCAGAGTGCACACAGGAGAACGCATGCGACGGATACAGTAATCGCACATTGGCGGGAAGTTAACTAAGTTGATTAATGAACTTAAGGCAGTTCCATTGATTTAAAAACTGCGATATCTTCAAAGAAATTTAGTATAGTGCATGATTTTTATTTTCCTTGATTTGGTTTCTGTCGGTCTTGTTTTCCGTACTGAGTACCAGGAGCAGCTCCCACACCTCGAACCCTACCTATCGACTCATCAACTCATGAACTGGGGACCAACGGTTTTACTTCCCTTCCGAAGGAAGGCGTGATCAGAGATGTTATGTCTCAGAAAATCCCGGTGACTCCGACTGGGATAGTTGCATGATATTCGATCAGATCAGATAGCTTCAGAGAAATCCCTTTAAATTAAGGAATTGTACGTAGAGTTCCGTGAAATTATATTATATTCCAAGAATTATGGGATATTCCCAGAATTCTATGAATGATCCGACAACTTCATAAGCGTCAAGAAATTATGAATATTTAGAGAACATCCGAGAAGCTAGATAATTTTATGGAAATTCATATTGGGAAATTGGGAAAGTTATCAATTAGTGCAGTTCCATGAACTTCAGAAAAATCTCGAGGACTTCAGTGAAAATCTTTGATTGTTATTTTAATTTGCGATACAGAAGAGGGTCTTATGTAGGCCAAGTCTTAATTGCACAGGTTGCACTATAGAAGGCGAGTGGAACATGGTGATCGGGATGAGAACTTTGTTGAAAATCTAAGAGCAATTTGAATTATATCGTTTCAATTCCAAAAAAAATGAAGGAACGTAAAAATGTTCCAGAACTTTCAGGGAAGTAAAAATATTTCAGAAAAACTTCAAATGCTTCACTAACGCCTAGAGATCTTCAGAAAATCTTCGAAAACTTCATAAAAGCCCATGGGTCCACTTTAAGGACGAGAACTCCACAAATAGTTCATGGACAGTAAGAAAAATGTGGGAACATTTCAATTTTTCTTAAGTTCCAAAAATTTAGGAACTCCACAAAAATTTCACGATATTCAGAAAATTTGCGGTAAATTTTGAGAAGTTCCAAAATTTTCTAGGAATTTCCTTGAAAGTTTAGAGATGTTAAGAAAAAAAATAGTTCTTCACATAAGTTCAGCGAACTTCACGGAAGCTTAGACATTCTTAGAACAGTTTAATACCCCGTTCACATTACAGCCTATATCACGTAATATAGGCTGTCTTGCAATGAGCACTCCTACATAGGATTTCCAGTGAAAACTAGATGTATGAGTGCTCATTGCAAGACAGCGTATATCACGTGATATACGCTGTAATGTGAACGGGGTATAAGTGATTTCATGGCAGTACATCAAGCTTTACGAGAACTGCATAAACATTAGAGATGTTTCTAGAATTTAAGGAAAGAACAAAGATCCTAAGAGCAACTCCATAAACTTAAGAAAATAACATAAATTGTAAAAAGTTTCGAGAACATCAGCGAGTTGTTGAAACATCAGGAGTTTGCTAGAATTCTAAATTGCTAAAATCGCGGAACATCATCAGAGAAGATCCTAGATCGTTCGGAAATTGAGGACCTTTGGAAAGACCAAAAAAGTTCAGATAAATTTTAAAAAAATAGCGGCGCCTGTGGTGTAGTGGTAAGCGTGATTACCTCTCACCCCAGCAGGCCTGGGTTCAATCCCAGTCGGCGCCGCCGGGATGTTCTGAGGCATAACATCTCTGATCACGCCTTCCTTCGGAAAGGAAGTAAAGCCGTTGGTCCCCGGTTCATGAGTTGATGGGTCGATAGGTAGGGTCCAGGTGTGGGAGCTGCCTTCCTGGCATCGGTAGCATTGATGCTCAGCACGGAAAACAAGTCCATGAAAAAAAAATTAAAAAAATTGAAGAGGGGTAGGGTAGATGTCCCTGCTATGGTCATACGTTCCTATTGTGGTATTTTCCAATTATGGCGTATAGAATAGACCATATTTAGAACACACATAATAGGAACTCCTAGCAATAACTGACATCTTGGGAGCATCAGGTTTCTCAAGCTACAAAAGAACTTCATGCCATTTTAACGACTTCAGGGAAATTTAGGGAACTTTCAAGCAGTTCTAAAGACCTCAGAATAGTCCAAGAGATGTTTCTTGATAATTAGCTTGGAGTTCACTTTGTATTCTTCCAAAGTTCCCATGGAATTATTCTAGAAAGTCCATACATGAAATTCTCCTCAGAATTAGCTCTGAACGTTTCTTTGCATTCTCTAAACAATATCACCGAAGTATATTTGGAATACTTCTCCGGATTTCCTTCCATCTACATTCGTCCCAGTAGTCAACTTGACACCTACACCAAGCACGCTGACTCCGCACAACAGCTTCTTGAAATGGCTAGCCCTCATAATACAGTACTTGTTCGCTAATTGGGTTAAAAGCGCAGTCCAGTTAGCGAATTCCACTCGCTAACTGGGCTGACTTGTCAAACGTCAAAAAACACTGAGGGGCATTTCGATGAATTGTTTGATCGGTGTTAAAAGCGTGAAATTAAAAAAAAAAACAAGTTTAATTATATTAACGCTTAATATTCCATTTGAATGCCCCTCACTAATTTTGTCTACGAAATGTTAACCTAAATGAGACGTCTATTTTTGACGTTGAACGCCCAGTTAAAAAGCAGCCCAGCTAAAGAACGCCCAGTTAGCGAACAAGTACTGTACGACCACAGACAAACAGACGTAACTCTTCATTGTGTATCTTCGTTCATGCATTTAACGGTTGATTTGAATATTATCAGTTCCGCGAACTACTCGCCGCAGCGCTGGCATCGGATCAC